TCTGGGTGAAATCCGATTTCTATCATCAATGGGAAATGATCACTACCATGGAGGTTCCTAAGGACCTTCCAAGAACATAATGGTAAGATATTCGAGGAACATGTCGTGACATCGTGTGTAGGAGTACCATCGTTTAAAACTATGAGGTTGCTGCTTAATAAGACGTCTTCAATCTTCCTCTGTCGTTTGATAGAGGAGAACCCCAGATCGGGCTCCATGAGCTGAAACTGCCCATCCAAAGTATACGATTTTGCATTTTATTTAAAATATTTAAGATATCTGAGCAAGAGAAACTTAGTTTGGGAGGGATGTATGTTGATTATTGCTAGTATTGGATAAAATAATATCTCAATCGCAATAGTTGGCAAAAACAATTTTGTAAGGTATGTTTTCTTTTACCAAAATTGCAACACCTTGTTTGCTGTATTGGTATTGAGGGCTATTAAGGAAATATCCACTATAGCCATATGGAGATTTAGGGTCGAAATTTTGGCGTATATGTGTTTCTTGTAAACATAACACTGAAGGTTTCAGGTCTTTAATTAGTAGCTGCAATTCGTGATAATTATTGAAATATCCGTGGATATTCCATTGCAAAATTGAAATCAATAAAATGTTAAAAGAATTGTGGGAGTATTATGTTAGATGTGTGTTTATATGATTAGTATTGTGGGACAAGGTTTTCTATTGATAATTAAGTTTTGTTGTTAGAGTGGAAAGAACTGGTGAAAGAAGAATTGTGTGAATCGTTTGGGTTAGAATTTTGTGCTTTTTCGATACTGATATGTTGCAGATTGTTATTGTAGGCAAATCTATAAAAATTATTATTGTTTTTGGTTGGATTGTTGTTTTGAGAAGGAATTTCATTGTTTTCTTGCTAAGGTACATAGATGATTTTGGTAATCGATTATTCATTGTGATAAAAATTCGTATAGTTCGTTATCACTGTTTGGATGTTGTTTTGGTGGAAAGGAGGTGATGTTCGATGTTAGATTTTGTTGTTGATCAGAAGTATGCTACAAACTGGTTTTTCCGCTTACGTTTTTAGTTGCTTGCTTTGGAATATGTTTTTGGTTGTTATTTATTATTGGGCCTTTAATAATAGATAAGAAAGAGGGACCACCAACAATAGATGGGCATTGATTTTTATCATGTTTATCGCTTCTCTCATTGTACATTTGTTTTGTACTGCAAATTTTAATATCTCTTTAGATTGCAAAAATTTGGGACAAGATCTGTCAAAAGATGGGTGCTCTTCTGCGCAGTTTGTACACATTGTACGTGCGCATATTTCAGGGTTATGGGTAGGTAGATTGCAGCGATCTCAAATTTTTGTGTTGTTGCAGCGTTTTGCAGTATGATTTAATTTCCCGCAGTTTTTTCAACGCATAGAGTTTGGAAAATATGGTCTAACCTTAACGGAATGCCATATAACATATATGTGGTTGGGAAGTTGGTACTTATCAAAAGTAAGGAGACAGACTCCGGTATGTTTTGGTTTTCCATCTATGTTTTTGGGAAATTTGTACACTTAAACAACTCCTTGGTCAGTTAAGTTTTGAATGATTTCCTTTTCACTTAGGTCGATTAGGTATGGGGCATATATTGTGCCTTTAGTATAATTGAGTTCTTCATGTTACTTTGTATTCACTTTTCGGCGATTGATTTGTCATTTAGTAATAGGCAAAGACTTCCGTCGCGTAGTTCTTGATTTTCATGATAATGCGGAATGAATTGCAAAGAAATTATACTTATTTAATGGTTTATTCATATCAACCGACGATATTACAACGTATTTAGGATTTTTCACTTCTATTTCTGGAATATTAGGAAAAGGCTCAGATTGTTATACTCTCGCAACCTGTTGCTACAGAGTATAATAGTTTTGTTCACCTAACGGTTGTTTGTATCACCTAAAACTAATCGAGTTAGATATAGGGTTATATATATATAAATGATCAGGATGAAGAGACGAGTTGAAATCCGGGTGACTGTCTGTCCGTCCGTCCGCCTGTCCGTCCGTCTGTCCGTCTGTCCGTCCGTCCGTGCAAGCTCTAACTTGAGTAAAAATTGAGATATCTTTATGAAACTTGGTAGACATGTTTCATGGTACCGTGAGACGGTTGGTATTGCAGATGGGCGTAATCGGACCACTGCCACGCCCACAAAACGCCATTAATCAAAAACAAATAACTTGCCATAACTAAGCTCCGCAATAAGATACAAGACTGTTATTTGGTACACAGGATCACATTAGGGAGGGGCGTCTGCAGTTAAAATTTTTTTTAAAAAAGTGGGCGTGGTCCCGCCTCTAATAGGTTTAATGTGCATATCTCCTAAACCGCTAATGCTATAATAACAAAATTCACTGGAAGCAAATATTTTTAGCACTTCTATTGACGGTGTGAAAATAGTTGAAATCGGGTGGCAACTCCGCCCACTCCCCATATAACGGTACTGTTAAAAACTACTAAAAGCGCGATAAATCAAGCACTAAACACGCCAGAGACATTAAATTTTATCTCTGGGATGGTATGAGATGACTTTATAGGAACCGCGTTCAAAATTAGACAGTGGGCGTGGCACAGCCCACTTTTAGGTGAAAACCCATATCTTGAGATCTGCTTAACCGATTTCAACCAAATTCGGTGCGTAACGTTCTTTTCATGTTTCTATGTCATAGTGCGAAAATGGACGAAATCGGACTACAACCACGCCTACTTTCCATATAACACCATTTTAAATTCCATCTGATTATTTCACTTTCCACTATGCAAATCAGGCAACAATGACTGTATCGGGATAAAACTTTGCGTGAATAATGCGATTAAAGTATGCCACCTTGTGGCCAAAAATTGTCTAAATCGAACCAAAACTGTTTAAGCCCCTAAGTACTAAATATGTGGACCCCAGTGCCTATAGTTGACCTTCTACCGAAAATATCAGCCAATCCACAAAGAAATCTCAAACGAGTATACTATTTGACTTTGCGAGAGTATAAAATGTTCGGTTACATCCGAACTTAGCCCTTCCTTACTTGTTTTTTTTTTTTATTTTTTTCCGTTTTGGTTGGGGGTCAGACGCCAGTAAGGCAAATCTTTTATCCCCAATCGATCAGGATGACGAGACGAGTTGAAGTTCTATTGTAAATCTGTCGATCCGAGCAAGCGATAACTTTCGTAAAATTTAAGGTGTCTTCAGGGTGTCCCAAAATTAACGCAAAATTTAAAATTGCCGCCATTTATGTAGTAAAGTGTTGACAACCTTAAAAACAACAGCTGACAGTTTAGGCATAGTAAAAATGGAGCGTTACACGATAGAAAAACATGTCATCAGTATTGAACAATATTTCAAAAATAATGAAAGCTTGGCGGCCTAAGTTCATACAGCCAGATTTAACACCCTTAGATTTCTTTTTACACACCACGTGTGCTTTAAAGGAAGAGATTCAACGTTGCATCAATGAAATTCAGCCACATTTATGTAGAATAGTCATGGAAAATTTCGACAAACGAGGGCGTATGTGTATAGAAAGCCATGTAGGCCATTTGCCCGATGTGTTTTTCTATAAACAATCCTATCCTATGTACTTTACGATTCAATAAAAAATTACAGTTGAAAGACTATAAACTGTGCTTTCTATTTAATTCCAATCTTGCGTTAATTTTGAAACCCCCTTTAGGATAAGCTTGGTACGAATGTTGTTTGGCACAAAGGTTGCTACTACCACTCCTACTTCCCATGTACCACATCATTAAATTCTGTCTGATTTTTTACTTAACAGTATATAAATCAGGCACCAATAAAATTATCAACCTTTACAAATATTGCACCTCCGGAATAACATATCTCATGTCTAATGCTCTCAGCTACCGAATATGTGTCTCAGTACATATTGCTGTCTTTTTACCGGAACGAAATTTTTCAACATAACCGTTATATCAAGAGTCGATTTCAACCATTTCCACATGGTTGGTGGTTATAATAGCCTTAAGGTTTTGTAAGATATGAATATTAATTCTACTAGGTGGTGGGAACACGCCCACTCTCTACAAAAGTTCAAGGCAATGATGTCCATTCTCAATGCTATCCGTTGAACGAAATTACAGTTTTTAATCTTAATGTGGGGCTTAGTTTTGACATTTTATAAGTTTTGGATAAATGACATTATGTGTGAGTGGGAATGATCCAATTCCGCCCATTTCCTCATATACCCCATATATTAAGGTTAACTTCTTTGTTTTTTTTCTATAACTCATTTGAGTTAATTGAGTTGACTTTAATTTAAATATTTCGGACACGAAGCAAAATGTAGAAATGAAACTAAGTGAGTCTATGATCAAAAATTTAAGTGAATAAGATATCAAATTTAATTGTAATCCATTCGGTTTCTTCGAATAATTTATGTTAGATTCTAGTGCACCATGTATAAATATAAAGTTGAGATCTTCTGCTACGATGATTTTTAAGCACTGTTTCTTTAACTTTTCGATGTTCTCGTCATTAACAGAGGTGGAGGGACGACTCACATGAGGAAGTTTTAGGGGACTTCGTGATTTTCACTGAAGGTTTTTTTCAAAAAAAAAAAAGAGAGACCAAATTCATTATATTGCGTATATGAGAGAAAAGACAACTGGAGAGGCGAAAATCATTATATTGTAATTAGGTTACGAGGTTAGACGATAAAATGTCAACTAGAAAGTCAGAGATAACTATATTGAGTGGTAAATTAAATAGTGCTCCAGTATATATTTACATTGAATTTTATTACGATAACTCAAAATTTGGCCGCCGTATTCGTCATGGATTCCATTAAAATAACGTGAATCATGAAGTATATTGGGCTGGGGCAATTTTTGGATGCATTTCATCCATTTTCGATGATATATACATAAGATACTTTTAAGGTATAAAGCAAGGGCATCTAATAGTCCGTGTCACTCGAAACTAGCCCCAATAGTAATAATACTTGTTTAATTTATATTCTATTCTTATTTTAGTGATGGCGTATATGATGACGATTCTTGCACCTCAGACACCGTTAACCATGCTATGCTAGTTGTGGGCTATACCAAACATTATTGGATTCTCAAAAATTGGTGGGGAGAAATGTGGGGAGAAGATGGTTACATGCGCTTAAGAAGAGGTACAAATTTATGTGGCATTGCTAATTATGCGGCATATTCTATCGTTTAGAACTTTGGAATTTAGATCCTCTAACGGAAAGTTATTTTAGATAAATAAATTTAAATACACAACAAAACGAAGAAACGTTTCTTTACTTTTTTCAACAATAAATGAAGTTCACCTTCCGTATAAGGTTTAGGTTTCAAAACTATTGATAGCTTAAGACAAATCAGATAACAACGTCTGAAATTTAAATCTATGTGTGATTTTGATAATTTTTGGTCACAAGGTGGCATACTTTAAACGCATTATTCACGCAAAGTTTTACCCCTGTAACCCGAATCTGGCGACTTGTCAAAAGCTTCAAAGACCACGCAGCGGAATCTGGTGTGGAGACGAGACGAGCCACAATGCAGATTCTGCTATTGCTAACAAAGGAATTCGTAAAACCGCTGGCTAAAAGTGGCGGGGAGATCAACTATGGATTCACAAAGGGGAAGGTTATGACCAACAAAGTCAGACGCCGATGCAAGAGAAAACGTGGCATAGGAATCGAAAGGTGAAGTCGATTAAGATCCAATGACGTCCTCGAGTGACGTGGAGAACACTGTACAAGGTGGGTGTACTTCGGGGTCTGAGCTTGCAGACAGACTCTCTAAACTGTACACTGAGTGTGAGCTTTTGAGCGACTCTCAAGAAGACGCAGAGAAGACACTAATTAATGCGTATTTTTTAAAACTATTCTCCACCATAGCAAACTAGCTTCTCTAGACCTAGTTAACTGCAGGGCAGAAGAACGGCCTGACTTCGTCCTCATTCAGGAGCCATGGGTTAATGGAGGTCTGAGAACAACGGGGTATAATTTATACATAGAAAGCTGCGTAGGTAAGGCTATGACATATATATTGGCTAGTAGCTTAACAAAGCTATAGTAATAATGAAAAAAGACGGGCGAAAATAAGTACCTGCTGGCGTCATGCTACATGCCCTATGACGAAGAAGAAGTACCATCGCAGCTAATTAAAAAGATGAAACGAGACAGCGAAGCATCCCAGTGCTACATATTCCTTGAATGCGACTCCAACGCCCACCCTACACCATGGGGCAGTACTAATGTCAACGAAAGGGGTGAGTTGCTCATTAATTACTTACTAGGAACTACGCTTTTGTTATGCAACAGAAGGAGTAAGTATGCCAACATTTATAACTAGAAACCGGAAGGAAGTATTCGACATAAACCTTGTGTCGGAAGAACTGGTAGATAAAATGGCATATTGGAGAGTACTAAAGGAACACTCCTTCTCAGATCACCGATACATTGAGTGTATAATTGAAGAGAATTAAGATAGGGTAGAAAAATTCAGGAATCATAGGAAAACGATCTGAAAGATGCACCTGCAGGAGTAAAAAAAGCGAATTCCTATGATTCCGCCATTTCAACCAGAGAACAAAGAGGACCCAGACTTTCTTGTTAAACGGTTCACAGATTCTTCTCGACAAGCACCAGATGTGGCTTGTCCAATAACACGCAGTAGGGGAAGAATTAGGCCCCCTGGTGTTCTCCCGTGCTTAAGGACTTGCAGAAAGATTGCGGGAAGAAACTCAATTTAGCCAAATTATCCCAAAGAGAAGAAGAGCAGGATAACTATAAGGACATAGAAAGAAAAAGTAAATTCGTGGGAATCTTTTTGTAATGACATCGAGAATACGGCAAAAGCTTCTCGACTTAGAAAAATAATGGCACTGTCGATACATAACAGCGGATACCTTCAGAAGCCAGACCACAGCTGGACGGTATCTAGTGAAGAGACTCTGGGCCTGCTAATGAATAGTCACTTTCCAGAGAGTTCCGAGAACCACACAATGGAGCATCCACTGGGCAGTGAAGTGGTAGCAGAGTCCTCTCCTGTAGACATAGTGTCAGATAGTAATATTTATTAGGCGGTAACCAGCTTCGAGTTTTATAAATCCTCGGGACCAGGCGGCGTATTTCTGGCTCAGTTACAGCAGTACTAGAGCTACATAACAAACTTGTTAACAGCCATGCTTAAAGGGGCACTGAAATTAAACTATATTCCTTCGGTATAGAGGAAAGTCAAGGTGATATATATACCAAAGGCGGCGAAGCTCACACAAAGGATTTCAGACCAATTAGTCATAATTTCTCTTAAAAACACTGGAAAGGCTAATAGAAATATACATAAGGTGCAAACTTAACATGGGAAAAATGGTAGTTTCGCAGAATGCGTATTCTAAGGGAAGTATTCACAGGAACGGTGTTAGGCTCAGTAGAGATTGAAACGCCTCTGGAGATAAAAGAATACACCCTCGTAGCTTTCTTAGAACAGCCAAAGGCCATACTGAGCGCGCTTAAAGATTTTTGCATCTCTGAGCCTCTCCGAAAATTATTGAACAGAAGCTCTTGGGCAGGTCAATTATTTTAACGCTGGGAGCTTCAACAATGAGCAGATCTGTCCGTAGGGGTACACCTCAAGGAGCCGTGCTATCCCCACTTCTCTGGTTCCTGACAATGAACAAAATGCTGGTGGATCTGGAAAAGAATGGGGCCCACGCTGACGATGTGCAACTTCGGTTAGAAGCAAGTTCCCGATTATCCTCCCTAGTCTTATGCCGACAATATGAAACGATATTAATCTATGGGCCGTATCATGCGGACTGAATATAAATGCTAGCAAGACAGAACTAGTATTGTTTGCTTAGAAACACAGTACTCCAAAAATCACGCCGCCAAGTCGTAAATATAATGCCGCTTAAAAAAGAATTCATAAAAATACGCATTTATTCGGCCTTGCAACTGGATGTAACCCCTTAAGGGACACCAGGCTAACGTCAGCAGATGTCAGCTACCTGGGACTAATTTTGGACAAGAAGCTTTCTTGGAAGCTAGGGGCCCAGATGGGGACTGACGTCTCGGGTAGCTCACTGGCTCTACACAGCAATTGTAAGGCCGATTATGACTTACGTTATATTTGTATGGTGGCTAATAACGGAAAAGAAATACGCGATTAGAAGTATGGAAAGCATACAAAAAGCAGCCAGTATTTGCATCAGTGGACCTCGCAGTGGACAACGCCACGCAAGGCGCTAAACGTAGTTTTACATGGATGGTTCCAAACTAGATAACCGAGTGGGTGGCGGTGTCTCCTCAGCTAAACTAAATACCAAAATCGCCTTTCGGCTTCCAGACCACTGCAGTGTCTTCCAAGCGGAAGTCACAGCAATTAAAGAAAGCCTTTTTGTACTTAAAAGGAGTGTGATCACAACAAGAAATATATTTATATGAACAGGCGCCTTCGAAATCTCTAATGTCTTATATGATTTTGTCTGAGACAAAGAAAGAATGCCTTGATATCCTAGCGGATCTCACATCCTTTTTCTCGATAAAGGCGCATTTAAGGGTAGACAAGCTGGGGATCTGATGATGTCAGCTGTCTACCCAGTATACTGCGGCATTCTTGAGCGCGCCCTCGCCAGACAAGTTTCAAGGTCTTCACGGACCTTGGGCCTAATACTGCAATTGTTGTGAGTGATCTCAACTACGATTGCGTATTTGTGGATTCTTCACAACTGGGTGTATGTGTCGCCGTAGAGAGGGAGTTCGGTAGGTTGATTGTAGCTAGTTTGTACTGCCAATTTAGCGAGCCCCTAGAACCCTAGCTAGGCTACATGGATAAGCTGCTACTACAATCCTAGGGTTGATTGCGAATGTCTCGTCTTCGATGTGGTTAAGTAAGATATCCCGGCATACGTCTGGATATCAAAGCCACAGTCGAGGCGAGGCATTAAGTGAATGGGTGGTGGCTAAAAGTCTCCACATTGTGAATTAGCCGAGTGAATGGTACACGTTTGATGGGCCTGGGGGCGAGAGTAACATTGACGTGACGCTTATGAATCAGGCAGCAGATAGCGCGTTAGTAGCTAGATGTGAGGTTAAGGGAGGGTGGGGATTGAGTGATCATAATTTGATCCAAAATGTGGTTACTCCCAAATCCCCTCCCTCGCTGTATGAGAGTCCATTGCGGCGATGGCGTACCTCTGGTATCCACTGGACCCAATTTGGACGATCTATTAAGGAAGAGGTATACCGCTTAGAGTGTTTGAGGATTTGGGGGTTGATGAGCAGATTGCTCGTTTTTATGAGGTAGTGTGGGGGTAAATGATAGGGTTCTTCGAAAGTGTGAAAGTTTTATGGTTATGAAAATAAAGTGGTGGACGCGAGAGTTAACCTCGAAGAGGAGGACTGTCAGGCGATTGAGGTGAAAGTTTCAACGCGCTCGACGGTTCAATTCTGACAGGCTGTCCCAGCTTAGGTATGAATTTAGTTGTGCGGTTAGGGAATACAAGGATATGTTGGTCAAAATTAAAGAACAGGAGTGGAGGAATTTTGTAAGGGTGAATAGGGACGACCCGTGGGATCAGGTCTATAAGATCTGCCGGGGTCGTAAAAGGGAGGATATCACTTCTCTTCCCGTTGGTGACACTGTGTTATCAACGTGGAGAGAGTGTGCGGGTGCTTTGTTAAGAGCGCTCTTTCCTAGGTCGGAGGTTCAGGTACCCCAAGCACAAGAGGTGCCTGTCCCTCCATTAGATGATGGTGAGTTGGGGTATGCCTGTGGCCTGGTCAGGTCTACGCGGTCTCTAGGTTTTGATGGATTTGAACAAAGAGATATTTAAAAGCTTGTTAAAGTTCATTCCGGAATACTTGTAGGCCATTTATGACAAGTGCGTGTGGGAGGGTTATTTTCCACGCGAGTGGAAAATTGCTAGCGTTGTTCCCTTCCTGAAGTCCCCTGATAAAATTAGAAGCGATCCTCGTTCTTATCGGGTCATCAGTCGCCTTCCAGTACTTGGAAAAGTGTAGGAAATAGTTATGGTGGAACGGCTTCAGAAGCCAACGCGGGGTTTGTGATCGGATAGGCAGTATGGGTTCAAGAAAGGACGCAGTGTAGAGGTTCTTTGTGCAGGGTGCTGTTAGGGAGAATGTCAACAAATATGTCCTTGGCATGACTGTTGACTTCAAGGAGGCATTTGATTACCTAAGCTGGGATCGAGTGTTGCAACGGCTGGAGGAGCTTGGCTGTCCGGAAATTACTCTTTGCCGGAGTTAATTTTCGGACAGAAAAACCTCTATAGTCGAATTGAATGGGAGTGTAAAAATCCACCTTATGATCAAAAACTGTCCAAAGCA